GGGGGGGGGGGGGAAAAAAAAAAAAAAAAGGAAACTGAAAATGTTTGGTGTAGAAAATGGAAACTTTAATTTGGGTCCGTAAAATTGGGTCCACAGGGGTTTTCAGGTTTTGGGTTTTGGTTAAAGGAAATTTGGGTTAAAATTTGGGCCCCATATGCACAGATTTTGAACAGGGGGGGATGGGGCAACCCCAAAGGGGGCCCCCCGGGGAATTTAAAGGGGTCTTTGGGCCCCCAACCTTTTTTGTTCCCCTTTCCCCAAAATCAAAAAAACCTATGAAAAAAGGTAACCCGGGGGGATTCTCATGGGGCCCACCCCTTTTGACCCCGGGCCCTCGGGTTGTGGGCCCTTGGTTTTCCCAAATTTGGGCCCGTTTCCCCCCGGATTTTTGGAAATTGTAAAGGAATAACCCCCCAAGTTTTGCTTCAGCAGGGGTTTTGGGGACCCCTTCCCCGGGTGTAAAGAATGCCCCAAACCCCAACCCTTTCCCTTTAAATCAATTTAAGGGGGGGCTGTCCCCAAAAACTGTCAAAAAAAAAAATTTCCCATTTTCCCGGGCTAAAAGGCAAAAAGGAAAGGTCAAACCCAAAAATTATTGGAGCTGGGCACTGCCCCGGGGAACATGTACCAAAAGCAAAAAACATTTTTTAAAATTCATCCAAATCAAACCCCGCAAGCAGTGATTTTTTTTAAATGTTTAAAAGGCGGGGAAAATTAAAAAACCCCTTTTTCCCTTTCAATTAAATAAAAAATGCTTGGGGGTGTCCTAATTCGCTTGCGAACGGGGGGGGGAAGCACATGGGATTTTACCTGGAAATTTTTTGCACCAGCACGGTTTTTACAGAGGAAAAAAGCTTTAAAAAATTTGGGAGAAAATTGGGCTTTGACTGCTGTCCAAATTTCACATGAAGGGTGTTTAAAAATCTAATGAAAAAACATAGGGGGGTTGGCCCGAGTGGGGGTTTACAACAATCATGTTTAAGGGGGGTTTGTGCCCATTGGGTTCTGGATTAAACCCCCAAAAAAAAATTAATTTTTTTTAAAGCACTATAATCTTTTTTAAAAAATTTTGAGTGAAATTTTCGAAATTTTTTAAAAAACATGTTTTTACTGGTTTTTTAACACCTTTTTGGGCTTATTTGGGCTTTCATATCTATGCATTCTGCCAATTCTTTTGGGAAGGGGGTTTGTTTTTGGGGGTGTTTGCACATGTGGGCAAAAATACTTTTATTTTTAAGGGTCAGGGGTTTTTTGGGAATAGTTTTTTCCTATTTTTGGGGCACAGTGGAAAGGGTGAAAATTTTTTGACAGGGGGGTGTGTACGCAATACAGGGTTTTCACTGCCCATTAAAACAGCACTTTTGGGCATTAAAAAGGGGCCCCGGGGGAAAAATTTTTTTCTTTTTTGCACTAAAGGAAAAAGGGGTGTAACCCTCCAACAAGGGGTTTCCAACTGTTATTATTTTGGGTTATATTTTTATAAAAAGACACGGGAATTGAATATATTACAGCAGACATTACTTCCTGAAGAGATGATAGAGAGGAGGAAAGTATCAGCATGTTTTACACATACACAACTAGTAACCTTTAGTGTACAGTGCCATCTACTGGTCAAGTGATATTACCACAGAATACTGTAATATAGTATATTATAGTACATGCTGTTGTATTCCCAACATATTACACAAGACTTTTTTTATTAAAGTTTTGTAACTTTCTGCTTGCACTGAATTTATTTGTGTGTTAAAAAGACATGTACACTTTATTTCATGTTTGCTGTTATTTTGTTTCAGTGTTTTTTATTTATATGTTCATTGCAATGTTTTTCATGATATGTAAATCACAAATTTTTCACATGCATTTAGCTCTGCCTCTAGTGAAGCTTTTGAATTTTATATTTGTTTTACCAAAACATTAGGCTAGCAGCTTTGTCCCTTATATGTCAGAGGTGTTGTGTGGTCTTTTTTGTTATATTTTAATTACCCCTACCCATTCCCTCTCCCCTCCAAAAAAATAAATACACTCTGGAAATAAAGACATCCAAATGCCTGACAAGTGCTTTATCAAAAAATTAAACCTCTCAAAAATTCATTGTCAATCACAAAGTCCGCTGCTGCCGACTTGCCGAATCCCCCCCCCCGCCCCCCCGCCCCCCCCAACAACCCTCCACAAACAACCAATCCCCGATGGCATCACTAGCCAAATGACAGCTCCCCGAGCAGTTATCAGCTGTATAAGGGAAGGGGTGGGGATAGAGTTGTTATTACCGAAATATGATCATGTGGCCATTTTTAGGCCATTTTCTTAGGTGGCTGGGAATTTCTGGCCATGTAAGTGAATAGACTGGGTGACTTCAGTGACTGGTAAATACAGGGTGGCTGCTTCCTTAAAAATCATTGACAGCATTTCCAAATATGGCTGTGTGGCAAAAATTAAGGTAATGACATAAGCTGTCCAAATCTTCCTGGCCCTATGTGAAAAAGTAGACCTTAACTGAGGAAAGTGAGGCCTGCAGCTCTTTAGATACTGTTCGGGGTTTTTTTATGATCTCATAGATATGTCATCATTGTACATTTGGAGTAATTTTGGTAGCCGCCACTCCTAGGAAGGTTCACCACTGTTCCAAGTTTTCTCCATTTGTGGGTAATGTCTCCCACTGTGGTTTTCTGAGTCCCAAGGCCAAAGAAATGGCCTTGTAACCCTTTCCAGACCAATACATGTCAATTACTTTGTTTCTCCTCTGTTCTTGAATTTCTTTAGAACATGGCATGATGCATTGCTTTTTTTAAATCTTTTAGCGTGCTTCACTTTGTCAGATAGCTTCTATTTAAGAGATTTCTTGCTTCAACAGGCCTGGCTTTAATCAGGCCTGAGTGTGGCAATTGAAATTTAATTAAAATTTGGTTTATCACAGTTCATTCATGATTTAGCAAGATGGGGACAATTACTTTTGTTTGATGATCTGAATCATTTAAGTGTGACAAATATGCAAATAAACTCCCCCAAAAAATCAGTTAAGGGGCAAATACGTTTTCACAGCACTGTATCTATCTACACTATATTGCTAAAAGTATGGGGATGCCTGCCTTTACAAGCACATGAACTTTAATGGCATCCCAGTCTTAGTCTGTAGGGTTCAATGTTGAGTTGGCCCACCCTTTGCAGCTATAACAGCTTCAACTCTTCTGAGAAGTCTGTCCACAAGTTTTAGGAGTGTGTCTATGGGAATGTTTGACCATTTTTTCAGAAGCACATTTGTGAGGTCAGGCACCGATGTCGGATGAGAAGGCCTGGCTCGCAATCTCCACTCTAATTCATTCCAAAGGGTTTCCATCTGGTTGAGATCAGGACTCTATGCAGGCCAGTCAAGTTCCTCCACCCCAACACTCGATCATCCATGTCTTTATGGACCTTGCTTTCTGCACTGATGCGCAGTCATGCTGGAAGGGGTCATCCCTAAACTGTTCCCACAAAATTGGGAGCATGAAGTTGTCCAAAATGTCTTGGTATGCTGACGTCTTAAGAGTTCCCTTCACTGGAACTAAGGGGCCAAGCCCAACCCCTGAAAAACAACCCCACACCATAAACCCCCCTCCACCAAACTTTACACTTGGCAAGATCTCCTGGCAACTGCCAAACCCAGACACGTCCATCGGATTGCCAGACAGAGAAGCATGATTCGTCACTCCAGAGAATGCATCTCCACTGCTCTAGAATCCAGTGGCGGCATGCTTTACACCACTGCATCTGACACTTTGCATTGCACTTGGTGATGTAAGGCTTGGAGGCAGCTACACGGCCATGGAAACCCATTCCATGAAGCTCTCTACGCACTGTTGTGCTAATCTAAAGACCACATGAAGTTTGGAAGTCTTTAGCTATTGACTCTGCAGACAGTTGGTGAGTTCTGCACACTGTGCGCTTCAGCATGTGCTGACCATGCTCTGCCATTTTACGTGGCCTACCACTTCGTGGCTGAGTTGATGTTGTTCCCAGTTGCTTCCACTTTGTTCCAATACCACTAACAGTTGACCGTGGAATATTTAGTAGCAAGGAAATTTCCCAATTGGACTTATTACACAGGTGGCAACCTATCACGCTACCACGCTTGAATTCGCTGATCTCCTGAGAGCAACTCATTCTTTCACAAATGTTTGTAAAAGCAGTCTGCCTGCCTCGGTGCTTAATTCATACACCTGTGGCCATGGAGGTGATTGGAATACCTGGGCGCAGTAGGGATTTGGGGATAGGGATTTGTACTAGCAGGCTGAATTTCTGTTAGGAAGGGGGATTTGGGGGGAAGGTTAGTGCTTGAATTTTTTTGGGGGGGGATTTTTTGCTGAAACATAATGCTCATATATTTTAGGGTGGGGGTGCCGTTTGGCATCTTTGCGCTGGGCACTAGATGACCTTGTCCCAGTACTAAATATAATGTATCTTCTATTGAGAGCACACAGCAACAAGTTGTCAAGCTGGGTAGTGCCTTCAGCAAGATGATTAAATACCAGAGTTCATGTATTCATGAGTTCATGTATTCATGGGATTAAAAATGATGAAAAAGCAGATATCCAGGAGGCAGCAGGATCATCTCCTGGACTCCTGCCACTAGCTGCTCTACAATGCAATCTTCTGTAAAATGCTTTTCAGAGTGCAGTTGACACTGCTGTCCTTGGCAAAAGAGTCCTAAAAGGTCCTAGACAGTTGTACTCCAGTGTCAGGGAGATCATCAGCAGATATGATAGTCATTTTGACAGTTCACTTTTCCATGGACATGTCTTCAAAGGAAGCTAATTTTAATGTTATTTTTACTTTTTTTTTATATCAGGTACCGTCCTTGATGATGTGAACCAACACAAGGTCTGCATTGACCAACGGCTCTGCCCCTGTGTTCATAATAACAAAATTTACCAGCCTGGAGATTCTTACACTGCTGGCTGCCTGAAATGGTACTGTGCATATACTTTTTGTTGGTGGATTGGGGAATATCCTAGGGTATGCCAAAAACTAAGCAGCTATGCACCATGCATATTATCTACAAAGTATCTTATCAATTATCAATGTTTGTCTATGTTTTTGACTACATTTCTGACCTCGTTTTAAAAATGATAGCTGCCTGTTTCTGGCCTCACTTTCTAAGTAACTAACTTTGGACAAGCATATAGTAAGGCAAGTCAGAGTAAAGTCAGATTTCTTAATCTCCATACGTATTTAAGGTGTTGATTTGCTAAAGGCATAAAGACTGTGCACTTTGCAAAGGAAAAAACAGCCAGTTTGCCTTTAGTAAACCACCCCAAATCAGAAAGTAATAAATCCTCTGAATAATGAACAGACAACTATAATTTTTAGAAAAAGAGATCAGCATTGGCAGCTAGACGTGCAGAACGAAAAAAATTGTTTTGTTTTGATTCATTATTCACATAGTTACATAAGTTATAATCCTATACCCACAGTTGATCCAGAGAAGGCAAAAAAACCAGCAAAGCATGATCCAATTTTCTCCTTTAGGGAAAACAATTCCTTCCTGATTCCCCAAGAGGCAATCAGATATTCCTTGGATCAACTTTACCTATAAATGTTAGTATCCAGTTATATTCTGTGTATCTAGGAAAGAATCCAGGCCTTTTTTACAGCAATCCACTGAGCTGACCAGAACCAACTCTTGAGGGAGTCTATTCCACATTTTCACAGCTCTCACTGTGAAGAAACCTTTCTATGTTATTTACAATAATTTTATTTCAATAAATTTGTTTAATTTGTTTACTTCTTTTTTGGAAATCGTTTAGTTTTGTTTAGTTTTCAAATGCAATTCAAATTTGATTCTAATTCAATTCAGCCGAACTTGAATTGGCATTTGAATTCTGATTTATTCTATTTGAAATTTGAATTTCGGCAGATGGTAATATTCTTTCTGTTCTATTGTTTTCCTATTCTATTTGTTTCTATTCTATTCTCTTTTTTTTATTCGTTTTTATTCTTTTTTTTCTAGCCTATTCAAATTCAAATTTATCAAATTTATTCTATTCGAAATTTGAATTTTGGAAGATGGTTATATTCTTTCTCTATTCTATTCTATTCTGTTCTATTCTATTTGAATTTATTCTATTCAAAATTTGAATTTGAGAAGATGGTTATATTATTTTTATTTTATTGTACAGGTTTTTTCTATTCTGTTCTATTCTAATCTATTTGCTTATTTTATATTATTTTCTAATCTATTTGAATTCAGATTTATTCTATTCAAAATTTTAATTTCGGAAGATGATTATATTCTTTCTTTTGTTTTTTCTATTCTATTGTATTCAAATTTATTTTATTCAAAATTCGAATTTTGGAAGAAGGTTATATTCATTCTATTCTATAGTTTTTTCTATTCTATTCTATTCTTTTATTTTCTATTCTTTTCTATTCTATTCTTTTCTAATCTATTCAAATTTATTCTATTCAAAATTCAAATTTTGGAAGACATATATATTCTGTTTTTTTCTATTCTATTAGAATTTATTCTATTCAAAATTTGAATTTTGGAAGACAGTTATATTCTGTTTTATTGTTTTTTTTCTATTCTATTCTATTCTATTCCAATCTATTATATTCAAATGTATACTATTCAAAATTACAATTTTGGAAGACAGTTTAGTCTTTCTATTTTATTCTATTCTATTGTTTTTTTTTTTCTATTCTAATCTATTCTATTCTTTTATATTCTATTCTATTATTTTATATTGTATTATATTTATTATTTTTATTCTAATGTTTTTCTTTTCTATTCTACTCTTTTATTGTCTATTCTACTCTTTTCAATTCTAATCTATTCTATTCTTTTATGTTCTGTTCTATGCTATTCTTTTCTATTCTGTTCCTTTCTATTGTAATCTATTCTATTCCAATTCAAATTTATTCTCTTAAAAAATTTGAATTTCAGAAGACAGTTATTTTTTTTATTTTATTCTAATCTATTGGCTTTTCTATTCTATTATTTTAAATTTTATTCTATTCTGTTATAATCTATTCTATTCGAATTGTCAGAAATTCATTTGTTATTTTGGATTCATTACTAATGTAATTCGGAAATTCAGAGACATCCGAATGTCTGAATAACTAAAAGTTTGTCCGCATTAGAATTTGGAATTAAACAAACACACATGTCTATTGACAGTCCTCGTTTATCCAATATCCTTCTTCCTAGAATGGTCTTTTATAGTGACCATACAGGTTACCATCTAATCGTACAATTTATAAATATTATTATTATACAGGATTTATATAGCGCCAACAGTTTGCTCAGCGCTTTACAATATAAAGGGAGACAATAAAACAATGATACAGTTCAATATAAGAGGGTTAGGAGGGCCCTGCTCCTTGGAGTTTACAATCTAAGAATAATCTACCTAGTTTGGTTAAAAAGGTACAAACCAAAAATACCTCACAATCAAAACATATGAAAATAGCCCAAGACAAAGAATCATCCGAATTTCGATCAGCATTTGGCCATCCTTGGTAGAAGGAAGAAGATGGAAAACTCTTGTTGATCAGCGGCTGCAGAAAATTGGCCACCTCGTTTGTGTGGATAGAGGAAACTATTGTTGTTCAGCTCAGTGGCTGAAAAAAAAAACCCGAAAAAACTAGTCATCTATTTTCAGCTTTCCAGTCTTTAAGTCCAGTGATAAAACATTTCCATCGTATACAATTACTGCTTTGAAACAATAACCAATTGTCAGACTACGCTGGATACTATCTTAACCCACATTTATTACAATTTCTGTACAAATATATATATATATATATATATATTTATTATTATTATTATTATTATTATACAGGATTTACAGTATATAGCGCCAATAGATTGCTCAGCGCTTTACAATATAAGACAAATACAGCAACAATACAGTTCAATACAAGAAGGATAGGAGGTCCCTGCTCTTTGGAGCTTACAATCTAGGAGGGAGGGGCTGATGGTACAAAAGGTAGTAACTGTGGGGGATGGACCGGTAGGAGGAGTAGGCAATTCCATTATTAGCTGAGTACAGGATAGGCTTCCCTGAAGAGATAGGTTTTCAGAGATCGCCTAAAAGTGAGCAGAGTAGGCGATAGTCTGATACATTGGAGTAGAAAGTTCCAGAGGATGGGGGGAGCTCTGGAGAAGTCCTGGAGACGAGCATGGGCGGTGGAGACAAGGGAGCTAGAGAGCAGGAGGTTTTGCGAGGAGCAGAGAGTATGGTTTGGATGATATTTGGAGACAAGATTGGTGATGTAATTTGGGGCAGAGTTATAAATGGCTTTATATGTTATTGTTAATGTTTTGAATTTTATCGGTTGGGCAATGGGAAGCCAGTGGAGGGATTGGCAGAGAGGGGTGGCAGATACAGAACGGTTAGAAAGGTGGATGAGTCTGGCAGCAGCATTCATGATAGACTGAAGAGGGGATAGCCTGCGATGAGGTAGGCCAATGAGGAGGGAGTTACAATAGTTATATATATATATATATATATATATATATATATATATATATATATATATATATTTAAGGTGTTTTTCTAACCAAAACCTTTTTTTTATTTTTTGATAATGTAGGAAAGGGTTAAAGCCTCTGTGGTATTTTTTAATGCAGTCTCTGTTTGTGCCTGCTAAAGAGATTCAGCCTCTCTAGTTTTACTAGTGACCATTGTCACTAAAACAGAAAGCGATGCGGAATCCAAAATGTCACTGTTCTCACCAAAAATCTGGTGCCATGGAAATGGGGACATCTGTTCCAGTGACAACTTTAAACAACTTTCCATTCACTTCTTGTGTTGTGCATATGAAAATCTCCGCAATGGCTCACAAATGCACAGAAAAACCCTGATACTGATAGGCGCTCTAAGAATTCTCTACTTTATACAAAACAAAAAAAAAGAAAAAAAAGCTTCTTCTACTTGTACATTTAAAAATCACTTGTTGTAAATAGTTCTCCCCTTGATGGCAGCAGATCTCGACTGTTACATGAGGCTAATGTACTGGAGTGGTAATCTAACAATGAGCACAGCTACATGAAAATGGCATAGCTACAGAATTTAGTAATATGAGTGGTTGGGCAGCACAGTGGCTAAATGGTTAGCACTTCTGCCTGGCAGTACTAGGGTCATTGGTTTGAATCCCAGCCACAGCACCACCTCCTGGAGTTTGCATGTTCT